GGTATATGGGATGGCCTCACGACAATGCGAAGGCATACAATCGATCGGATCTTCTTAATAAAGTTTCACTCTTTAAGGACGAGAGACTACTCCTGGCGTTGGGAACGGCCGACGGTTTGACTGGAAAATAATATTGAGTTCATTGTAACACTAAAATGCAATTGAATTTACAGATAACGTTCACTCGCAGCACTCCATGCTATTGATGTCCAAACTGAATGAATTGGGAATACTATACGAGACACAGATATATCCAGATAACGATCACTCCCTCCGCGGATCGACTATACATTTATATCAAAGAATGACTGATTTCCTAGAGAATTGCTTTTATACATAAAGCTATTCAATTCATTTTAGAAGTTATTTTTGGCTTAAGAATTGACTCAATTGTGACTCTTTATTGTAAATCCCGACGACAAACCATATTATTTCAAATGTCATTCATTTTAATAGTTTTTATTTCAGTATTATTTAATTCATTTTAGAAGTTATTTTTGGCTTAAGAATTGACTCAATTGTGACTCTTTATTGTAAATCCCGACGACAAACCATATTATTTCAAATGTCATTCATTTTAATAGTTTTTATTTCAGTATTATTTAATTCTCGTCATATTTGCACTAATCTCATACTTTGTAGACTTTAAGACATTTATCAAATTTTAAAACTTTTTATTTATTTATTTATTTTTCTTATATTTTTAAATCGATTAAATTTCTATTTTTAAAAAAACACTAATTTCTAACATCCTATAAATGTACCAATTTTTGATTACCGGTACATAACTGGAAATAATTATTTTTTGGTGTTATATCCGTTTGGATGGTTTGACTGCCATTTCCAGGCAGAGGCGCACATCTCTTGCAAACTCCTAACAGCCCTCCACTCTAGCTTTTCCAGCGCTAGCTGTGAGTCGGCATAGAGTGCCGTCACATCTCCCGGCCTTCGGTCCACTATTTTGTACGGAATTTTGATGCCATTCGCCGATTCAAACGCTTTGATTATCTGAACAATTATTTTTGGGAATTATTTATTTGGTTTTACAAAATAAAACTTAATTATACCTCGAGAACTGTATAGCCTCTACCGGTGCCCAAATTGATTGCATTGAATCCATGCCAACCCTTATCAGATATCTTGTCGAGTGCTTTTAAGTGTCCGTTCGCCAGGTCCTCGA